ACAGGCCATGGGATGAGGAAATGGCCTCAGGTTGCACCAGGGGAGGCTTAGGATGCATCTTGGGAAAAATTTCTTCACGGAAAGGGTTGTGAAGCCTTGGCAGAGGCTGCCCAGGGCAGTGGTGGAGTCACCATCCCTGGAGGGATTTCAAAGCCGGGCAGACGTGGTGCTGAGGGACATGGGTCAATGGTGGGTTTGTCAGTGTTGGGTTGATGGTTGGACTCCATGATCTGAAAGGTCCCTTCCAACCTCAACCATTCTATGATTTTGTCATCTGCTTGAGCCCAGTGCTGCGTAAGCACCGTTTGGCTGTATCCAGAGCCAATAGAGCACAAATCCAGCATAGAACAGACAATATTGTCAAAATTCATAAGACATTGACTGCAGAACTTGCAACACAAAGTTACATTTCTTTCTCTTGTGTCCACAGTGCTGATTTATCTCCTGTGCATTTCTGGGATCGGACAGGTTCCCTTTTGGATTCTCTCTCTCTCGGGAGCGAGGTGTACGACAGCGAACTCAACGATCCCCATTACGACCAGAGTCTGCTCGAGAGCCTTTTTTACACAGCTCCTGTAAGTGGAGAGCAAAAGGAAGGTGCTAAATATGTAGCTCCTAAGGTGAAGAAAATCAGAAGGTTTCAGTATTAGTAAGGCTTAATAAGCATTAAGTATCATACAGAAGCTTGTGAGAACATTCCTTAAAATTAATCCTATTAATAGAATACTATTAAGACTACGAAGTCAAGCTGCAAGTTTGGAAATTACTAGGATTGAGGCTGTCCATGAAAACATTTTTTTAAACTTCTGAAAAATTTGGATACAATTTTAATTGGTTTTAAGTATGCAATCCACAAGTTGTTTTTTTTCTTTGTCATAACCGTTGTGTATCTTGCCAGACAATGATAATTAACTTCTTATTTTACGTGCGTTATTTCTGTTGCAGAAATCTGATTCCAGTTTGAGTGATTTCCTCAGTGATGATGATGTTAACAGCTCCAAAAAAATAACCAAGGCAGAAACTCTCAAGAAAGCTGATCTAGTGAATCTACAGAAGGATTCTAACACCTTTGATCAGGATCTGAAGGTGACAGAAATTGAAGCCAGGTAAATAGTTACATTAGTGACTTGTTTTGCAGCATCTTGAACATTGTAGTATTAAGTTTGCAGTAAGTTTCCAGACTACATTAAGTTATGTGGGAGTCTTGATCTGCTGGAGGGGAGGAAGGCTCTGCAGAAGGATCTGGACAGGCTGGATGGATGGGCCAAGGTCAATGGGATGAGGTTCAACAAGGCCAAGTGCCAGGTCCTGCCCTTGGGTCACACCAACCCCATGGACGCTCCAGGCTGGGGGCAGAGTGACTGGAGCTGCCTGGCAGAAAAGGACCTGGAGGTGTTGGTGGCCTGTGGGCTGAACATGAGCCAGCAGTGTGCCCAGGTGGCCAAGAAGGCCACCAGCATCCTGGCCTGTGTCAGGAACAGCGTGGTGAGGAGGACTTGGGAGGTGATGGTCACCCTGGACTGGGCACTGTTATGGAGACCACCAAATTTGTTGTAAAAAATACATTTAAAAATGAACATTTTCATGAATGATCACAGAATGAATCATGGAATGACATGGGGTTGGCAGGGATGCAGGGACCTCTGGAGATCATCCAGTCCAACCCCTTGCCAGAGCAGGTCCCCCAGGAACATGTCCAGGTGGCGTTTGAATGTCTCCAGAGAAGGAGACTCCACCACCTCTCTGGGCAGCCTCTGCCAGGGCTCTGCCACCCTCAAAGTGAAGAAGTTCCTCCTCATGTTGAGGTGGAACTTCTTATGTTCATGTTTGTGCCCATTTCCTCTTGTCCTATCCCTGGGCACCACTGGAAAAAGACTGGCCCCAACCTCCTGACACCCACCCTTGAAGGATTTAGAGGTGTTGATCAGATCCTCCCTCAGCCTTCTCTTCTCCAGACTAAAAAGGCTCAAGTCCCTCAGCCTTTCCTTGTAAGAGGAAATATGTAAGAGGAATAATATGTAATAGATGTATTATAATATATAATATATGTAATATAAATGGATGTAATATAAAATAAAGTAATATGCCACCAACTACGATTTTCCCTTCATGGGGCTGTGTTAAGAATGTTTGTGTAGTCCTGATTCTCAGTTTTATTTCCCCTGTTAGGCCACTTGCTTCTCCAGAAGATGACACAGAAGGATGTCGTGTCACATCCCTGAGTGCAGACAGGTTGGAGCTGCTGGAGCGAATCCACCTGGCCAGAGTCATCGTGGAAAGCTTGAAAATCCCTCTGGAGAGCATCCAGATGACCCCAAGGAAGAAAGGTTTAACGGGGAAGCCCCCAAGGCCTGCACCAGTTAATAAATGGTAAGGGGGGGTTGTTTCTCACCGGCTTCTTGTGCCTTCAAAGTAGATTTCTCTGAGGTCAATTGTGCTGTCCAGAAACTCCAGGTTTCTTATGTCTTCCTGTTTCTCTGCTCCTCGCAGGGAATTGTTTACTGTAGACTCCTGAAAGTTTGAGATGTGAATAATTTTTGGGGGAAGTACAAATGTGCTTCAATACACTGAAAACAAGAGGTTTGTGGGGGTTTTTTAAAGAAAATCTGACATATACGTAATCTTTTGAAGGAACTACTAACATAGGTACTTCAATTATTCTAGAAGAATAGAGTAACAATAAATTGTGAATAAGAAACTTGCCTGCTATGTTGAGTTCCATTGTGTACGTTAGATTTTTGATGGATTGTGACCATCCCTTTGCTTTTTTATTGGTAGCACCTTCTTTGTGGAGTACCACTTTCCAGTGGGAGCCTCCAAGGATGAAAAAGGCCAGGTCTCCATCACAACAGAAGTCGTTCGAGTAGCCTCGAGTAAAATCACAGATGATGGTAAGAGCTTTATTTCCCCCACCCTTGTATTTAATATTGTTGACTCCTTCATCTCTTAGAAATTATTTAGTAGCATTTTCTATGTGTTTTCTTATCTGCCTGAAAAATACAGTCTGATGAGTGGCACCTCTGCCAGCAGAATTGCTGCGCTGCAGGTAGTGGAATGGTCCTCTCAAGGAGGAGGAAGCCAAGGGATTTTTAAATTTTTTTTTGGCTTCCAAAAAGTATTCATATGGGGATTTTCAGATTTCTTTTCCTGGGGATGTAAGAGCAGGTCAGTAAACTCTTTCCTTCATTTCAACGTAAACCCAGTATCCTTTCTGCAATAGTATGAGGGTGATAAAGCAATTTTAGAAATATTAGAGATATATCTCAAATAAGCAGCAAAGCCTTTGATACAGTCTCCCACAGTATCCTCCTGGAGAAACTGGCTGCCCATGGCTTGGATGGGAATACCCTCTGCTGGGTTAAAACCTGGGCCCAGAGGGTGGTGGGGAATGGAGTTAAATCCAGTTGGTGTCCAGTCATGAGTGGTGTCCCACAGGGCTCGGTGCTGGGACCCATTCTCTTCAACATCTTTATCAATGACCTGGACGAGGGGATCAAGTGCACCCTCAGTAAGTTCACAGATGACACCAAGTTGGGTGGGAGTGTTGATCTGCTGGAGGGTCTGGAGAATAAGTCTTATGAGGAGAGGCTGAGGGAGCTGGGGGTGTTCAGCCTGGAGAAGAGGAGACTGAGGGGAGACCTTCTTGCTCTGTACAACTCCCTGAAAGGAGGGTGTAGAGAGGTGGGGGTCGGTCTCTTTTCTCAAGTCACAGGTGACAGGACAAGAGGAAATGGCCTCAAGTTGCGCCAGGGGAGGTTCAGGCTGGATATTAGGAAACATTTTTTCACTGAAAGGGTCATCAGCCATTGGAATGGGCTGCCCAGGGAGGTGGTTGAGGCACCATCCCTGGAGGTGTTCAAAAGACAGGTTGATGTCCTGCTGGGAGGTATGGTTTAGTGATGGTGATGCTCCTTGTTTGTTGTGTGGGTGTCTATTTTTGTCAGTTAGGTTGACGGTTGGACAAGATGATCTTGAAGGTCCCTTCCAACCTAGAAGATTCTGTGATTCTGTGAAATCATTTTTTCAGGTGCTCGAGTATGTCACTTAACATATGCAAGAGCTCAGAGAGTCTGCAGGATCCACGACATCTGGAGTCCTGTGCTCAAATCAGTAGAAATTAATCTTTTTACTGAGAGTCACCAGTGTTTGTGTCCCTGAGAGCAATTTATGTTGCGTTTCTCTCCTTGGTGAGCAGGGAATGCTGTGTGAGCAAGATGCTCTCTGCCCAGTCTTCCCAGAAACTGCAATTCTGGGGTGACTTTCAAATGCCTCTCCCATGTGGTCTTTTTTTTTTCACCCATCTTTCTGGGTGGCACTTGAGAGATCTGGGGGTAATTTTGAGTCCCTGAGAGCAATTTATGTTGCGTTTCTCTCCTTGGTGAGCAGGGAATGCTGTGTGAGCAAGATGCTCTCTGCCCAGTCTTCCCAGAAACTGCAATTCTGGGGTGACTTTCAAATGCCTCTCCCATGTGGTCTTTTTTTTTTCACCCATCTTTCTGGGTGGCACTTGAGAGATCTGGGGGTAATTTTGTGTTCTCTTGTATATTCTCTGTTCACGTCTTGACAAAACATCTCATTCTTTAGAACCTGGGCTCTTTGCAATCCCAAAATACTACAGGCTCCTGCACGTTGTAGTCATAGAATGGTTTGGGTTGGAAGGGACCTTAAAGACCATCTAGTCCAACCCTCCTGCCATGGCCAGGGACACCTCCCACCAGACCAGGTTGCTCCAAGCCCCCTCCAACCTGCCCTTGAACCCCTCCAGGGATGGAGCAGCCACAGCTTCTCGGGGCAACCTGGGCCAGGCTCTCACCACCCTCACACCAAACAAGTTCGTTCTAATCTCTAATCTAAATCTCCCCTCTTTCAATTTAAGACCATTACCCCTCATCCCTCCCCATCTCTCCTGTAGTCCCCCTTCATGTACTGGAAGGTCAGTACTTTGGAACTTAGAAAAATAGGGCTGAAAATAATCAGAAGAAGCCGTCGAGTCAATCCACTGAACCGTTATCTTTCCTGAGAGCTGTTTATCTCATTAATCAAAGGTGCCCAGTTGGAAAAATTCCACAGCCATCCCAGGCAAGCTGTAGAATTGCTGTGCTTCCTCTTAGAAAACTTTCCTTATGTCTAACCTGAGTTTTTCTCCTCACAAGAATACTTTATCCATTGTGAACACGCAAAACTTACCACTTCAACGCTGTTGTACTCCTTATTCTTCTCTACACCACTTTATTCAGTCTTTTCTTGCAGATAATACCTTTCTCCTCAACTTGCAGTTATTCTTGAAGGTCAGCTTTGCCTCTCACAAGATTTATCTTGAAATATGTTGCTCTAAATGAGACAGGGATCTTCCACTGAAGGAGGGACGGTCTTACCGCGTGCTAAGATCAACTTGGTATCAACCGCAGCCCTTAGATGCTGCTATAATATTAATTTTGTGGTGCTTCCCTGCTATTTTCTGGCCTTGGAAAATGAAAAAGGGTTTACTTTGGGCTGGCTGTTAATAAGTAATGCAAAATTAAACGAGTGTGTGTGTAACAGAGCAATCTCCAGGGGAAAGTTGATTTAGATTCAGTTAATTTTGAATAATTGTTGCTCCTGCGAGCGATTAAAGTAAAGGTAAATGAGCTGCAGAGTTGTAACATAAATTAATAAGTTGAAACCTCAGGAGGATTCTTGTTGAGGGTTCCAGTGACATCCTTTTCCTCTTCAGCTCCCAACCTTGCTTGGTCTCTTGATTCTGGCAGTTGTGGAAATGCTCTCTGTGTGTTTGTCCCCAAGTGTCATCACTTTGCCCTCGTACCTTCTGAGCTTCATGTGTCTACTCGCCCCTCGTGTTCTCTGCAGAGACTCAAGTTTTCTCTGCTCCTGATCCAGTTCAAAAGTCAAATTAGCTCCGAATCTGATGAAGAGCTCACAAGTCTCTGTCTTCCTTGCAGTGGTGACATTTCAGCAGCGGTTTGTGTTCCCTCTCCGTTTCGGTGGGACGATGATAGAGCACTGGTGGAGCTCAGACCTTGCTTTTAAAATCTACATGAGAAAAAGCACACAGAAAAAGGTACTTATCAAAGGTTGTTTCTATTTTGTGCGCTGAAAAGCAAGGAAATTCTTTGCACTTCTGTTCCCTCCAAAGGCTTACGCAGAAAGTAGTGGCTTCTCTAAGTCTTCTGTGATGCTTCATTGCAATCGCTGCCACCTCAACCATCAGAAGGCAAATAAAGTGACGTGGTTTGACTGAGCCACCTCTTAATCAACCATTTCCAGATATCCAGAAGGGAAACAACATTATTTTCAGATCCTATAAATTGAACTAACTGCCATTCAATCTTGTCACCCAATAAATGATTTTCTGAGTTCAAGACTGACAGGAGGAAAAAAAAATGGTCCTTCCCTCATTTTTAAAACCCATCTCTTGCCGCTTGAGCATATTGGATCAATTAGGCATCAGTACAGGGTAGGCATGGACCTGCTGGAGACAAGCTCTGAAGAAAAGGATCTGGGGGTCCTGGTGGACAACAAAATGACAATGAGCAAACAGGGTGCTCTTGTCGCCAGGAGGGCCAACGGAATCCTGGGCTGCATAGGGAAGAGGGTGGCCAGCAGGTCAAGGGAGGTCATTCTCCCCCTCTGCTCTGCACTGGTGAGGCCACAACTGGAATCCTGCCTCCAGTTCTGGGCTCCCCAGTTCAAGAGGGACAGGGAACTACTGGAAAGAGTCCAGCGTAGGGCTACAAAGATGATTCAAGGATTGGAGCATCTCCCTTATGAGGAGAGGCTGAAAGAGCTGGGACTCTTTAGTCTGGAGAAGAGAAGGCTGAGGGGAGACCTTATCAATGCCTACAAGTATCTCAAGGGAGGGTTGAAGGAGGAGGGAACCAGACTCTTTTCAGTGGTTCCCAGTGAGAGGACGAGGGGCAATGGGCACAAGTTGGAACATAAGAGGTTCCACTTGAATATGAGGAAGAACTTTTTCACATTGAGGGGGACGGAGCCCTGGAACAGGCTGCCCAGGGAGGGTGTGGAGTCCCCTTCTTTGGAGATCTTCAAGCCCCACCTGGATGCTCCTGAGTAACATGCTCTGACAAGCTCTGGGTGGTCCTGCTTCAGCAGGGGAGTTGGACTAGATGATCTCTATGGTTCCTTCCAACTCTAAAAATTCAGTGAAAATTCAGTGAAATTACAAGTCTTTTAGAAGAAAGCAGCTCGTTTAACAATACAAAATGAGTTAATGTGGATGCAGTTGATAGCACGACTTTGCCCAGTGTGAGGTGTGAGAAATGGGTGTAACTTGTGAATTTGGGAGGGGGGAAAAGGTACCTTCTCTAAAAATATTTGCATAATCATCTGCATGTGACGAAGACAGTGAAAGGTGTCAAGTCAGCTCCTGTTTTGCTTTAATCAACACCGGGGGTATCTGTTCTAATAGGAGCTTTTCTTTTCATGGGTGAATAAATTACATCTTGAAATATGGCAATTTTTGCTCGGTTACTAGGATTTGGGATGTTCTTTTTTGCATTAACCTGGAACTGTTTGCTCTAGGTACAGGGAGAATTTTCCTTGTTGTTGTCCAAGTGATACTTGAAATTGGAATTAAGGGAAACTTTCCTTCAAATCCTTCTTGGTAAAAATAATGGTACAGGAGTGGGGAGGGTAGAGGAGGAACCACAGCTTCTCAGGAGGTTTTAGTTTCCCAATAGGCCCTTAGTTCTTTAAACCTGATGGAAATCTTGCAAAATGGATTCTTTTTTGTGCCCTCAGCCAGTGGCCATTGGCTCAGCAGCCCTTCAGCTACTCAAGGTTATTCAGTCGGAGCTGCTGTCTCTCAGCTGTGAAATACCTGTGGACAAAGAGGGAGGTCAGCCACAAGTTGGCCCACTAAAGGTATGTCTTTTATTATATAGAGTTTAACAACCTGTTGTTACCAATTTTGGCTGGATGTTCTCTCTTTTTTCTTTTTTTTTTTTTTTTCATTTTTCTTCCTCTTTCATTTCTTTCTTTGTTTCAATTCACCAGGTCTCAGATATGAAGGTTTGTAAGACCAATACAAGATAAGACAAACCTGGTTTTTCCCTTAGGGTTTCTGAGAAATCTTTTGAACCTCCTCCAAGTCTAAGGATGTTGTTGTGTGACGTTCCCCTGGGTCGATAAGTCAGGGCTTGGATACAGAAACCACTCTACAGGGAGATTTTGAGTGGCCCAGTATTCAGGGCTGGGAGCTTTGGCTTCTGCTCCACGCGTGACATGAGCTGAGGTTTCTCCTGATGCTCCCCATCATTGGTACCACCTTGTCACTTCAGGAGTTACCTTTTCCAGTCAGAGTTTCTGCCAGCATGCTCCACTTCTGGTTGAGAAGAATTTAGAGTCCTGACATTTCGGAGGTTTGCCAGTTCTGAGGATAAAGAGATCTCTAGATTAAAAAGTGAAGGGTTAAGAGACCATTTGGGAATTTTACATTCAGAGCTCCTAAATTATTCCCAGTGAAAGTGAGCGTGGATTGTTTCTGTCACTGTAGTTCATGGGATGAGTGATATTTTCTGTCAGAGAAACTGTGAAACTTCGTTGAATCATAGAATTGCCCAGGTTGAACGGGACCTTTCAGACCATGGAGTCCAACCATCAACCCAACACTGACAAACCCACCACTGACTCATGTCCCTCAGCACCACATCTGCCCGGCTTTGAAATCCCTCCAGGGATGGGGACTCCACCACTGCCCTGGGCAGCCTCTGCCAAGGCTTCACAACCCTTTCACTGAAGAAATTGTTCCTGATCTCCATCCTAAACCTCCCCTGGCACAATTTGAGGCCATTTCCTCTTCTCCCATGGCCTGTTCCTTGGGAGAAGTAACTCCCAAGTTACTCTCTTCCAGAGAAGCCATTGAGCAGAGCTGCCAGCAGAGGAGCTTGCAGAAGGATGAAACATAGAGACCTGGCCAGGGCACGGAGGATAAGGGATGTCACCTTCTGAGCCCACCTTGTGTTCCTTGGGTTCTTTCTGACAGATGGCTTTCAACTCCTCATCTTTGGACGTGTTCTTTGTACCCTTTAGGAGTAGGTACCGTTTGGGATCTTCTGCCCCAATATCTTGTCTCATCCTTCCTAAGTCATAGGCAAAATTCTCAAGTCTGAATATTTTGTTTTACTTATTTGGGCATTTTATGGCTCCAGTCCTTTTCTTGATCCTGTTGTCTTGTCTTCTGGGCTTTGGGTTTGTTCCTTCCCTTCTTGCTGTCTTCTGACTGAATCCAGTTGGTCTATGATGCTCTGTAGCAATTAACACTTGCAAATTAACACTTGCAATTCCTTTAACCCCTATTCTGCTGTTTGTTTCGTTGCTTTCACACACACATTTTAATTCATACCAATCTAACTATTTCTCTTGAAAATCTTGAAAAGGGAATTCAGGTACAGGACAGAGTGTTAAATAAACAAAATAAAAGCAAAAAAACCCCAATCTCAGAAAGAAGACAAATGCAGTGGAATATGTTGACCACTGGAGAGAAAAAGGAGGAGCCCACGGAAGGGAGAGGAGTTGGGGGCAGCTAAAATCAGCAGGGGAATGTAAAAGTGGAAGAGCATTTAGAGGGAAACACTTATTTTTCATAGTTTTTTTTTTCAAGCAGCAAGTGCTGCAGCAAAGGAGCAAATGGCAGTTGTGATACTTTGTCACAGCACTTCTCATAGAACCACAGAATGACCTGGGGTTGGAAGGGACCTCTGGAGATCATCCAGTCCAACCCCCTGCCAGAGCAGGGCCACCCAGAGTAGGTTGCACAGGAACGTGTCCAGGTGGGGTTTGAATGTCTCCAGAGAAGGAGACTCCACCATCTCTCTGGGCAGCCTCTGCCAGGGCTCTGCCACCCTCACAGGAAAGAAGTTCCTCCTCATGGTGAGATGGAACTTCTTATGTTCAAGTTTGTGCACATTTCCTCTTGGGCACCACTGAGAAAAGCCTGGCCCCATCCTCCTGACACCCACCCTTTAAGTATTTAGAGGTGTTGATCAGATTCCCCTTCAGTCTTGTCTTTTCCAGACTGAAAAGACCCAAGTCCCTCAGCCTTTCCTCAGCAGAGACATGTTCTAGTCTCCTCATCATCAACATGTGTCAGTTGATACTTGAGGTTCTGCTTCATTTGATAAAACCACATGTAGTTTATTTTGCAGTGACCGTTGGTCTGGAGATTAGACTGGAGATGAGGAGAGGGTTCTTCACTGGGAGGGTGGTGGAGCACTGGAACAGGTTGCCCAGGGAGGCGGTTGAGGCCCCTTCCCTGGAGATATTCAAGGAGAGGCTCGACGAGGCCCTGGGCAACCTGGTCTAGTTGGGGGTGTCCCTGCTGACTGCGGGGAGGTGGGACTAGATGACCTTTGGAGGTCCCTTCCGGCCTGGACAACTCTATGACTCTATGGTCACTTGTAACCAGGGACAACTAAGAGTGAGCCTTCTGGGGGCAGGTCTAACAGTTCTTGAACAAAACATGCAGTGCTTTTTCCTGACTTTAAGTCACAGTATTTTTGTCTTTTACATGGGACACTTCTCCTGATGAACCCTCTTCTCCTCACACGATGCAGGTGTCCGTGGAGCTCGCAGCCGACAACAAAGACTTCACCCCCAGCTCAGCCCGGTCAGCGGCGGCCGCGCAGCGAGTCCCAGCTCACGCCGTAAGAAGTCCCCAGTTGGAATTCCAGGAGCCCAACAAGAAGAATGTAAATGCAGAAAGTCCTCTCCACTTGAAATTTAGCAGCCGTGAGGACTCGCAGAAGACGGGAACAGCTGGAATAAACGTCGTGCAGCCTCCACGGGCTCTACCGGTCCCTGTAGCCCATAATTTGATGACACAAATAACTGCATCCGAGGAGGATGGATTATTACTCCATGTGCTGTTGATGGTGCCGGAAGGAAAGGATTTTGTTGCTGGAGACTGTGGGCTCCACAGCTCTTGTAACGTGTATTTAAACTGCAAACTGCTCAGCAGCGAGGAGGCAACGAGATCTGCTGTCGTGTGGGGCACAACACAACCTGCCTTTAATTTTTCTCAGGCAAGTCACAAGTTTTCTGCTTAAGACTGATTAAAATGTGCTTTTCCAGACTGGCAAACGTATTTCAGAGATGTTATTTTTAAATAGAATCATGGAATGATTCAGGTTGGAAGGGACCTTAAAGACCATCCAGTTCCAACCAGAGCAGGTTGCTCCAAGCCCCCTCCAACCTGCCCTTGAACCCCTCCAGGGATGGGGCAGCCACAGCTTCTCTGGGCAACCTGGGCCAGGCTCTCACCACCCTCCCACCAAACAAGTTCTTCCCCACATCTCAGCTCCATCTCCCCTCTTTCAGGGTCACACACTTCCCCCTCTTCCTAGGGCTCCCCTCCCTCCTCAAGAGTCCCTCCCCATCTCTCCTGTAGCCCCCTTTAGGCACTGGAAGGCCACTATAAACTTCTCTGCTTGGCTCTGTCCAGTATATTAACAGTATTTTCAGTATTGTTTTGGCTGCACTGCACCATTTGAAATGCAGTTCCTTGCATCATCCAAATAATCATAGAATCATAGAATCATAGAATGGTTTGGGTTGGAAGGGACCTCAAAGACCATCGAGTTCCAACCCCCCTGCCCTGGGCAGGGACACCTCCCACCAGAGCAGGTTGCTCAAGGCCCCATCCAGCCTGGCCTTGAACCCCTCCAGGGATGGGGCATCCACAACTTCCCTGGGCAACCTGGGCCAGTGTCTCACCGCCCTCAGAGTAAACAATTTCTTCCTGATATCTAATCTGAATCCTTTTTCTTCCAATTTAAAACCATTTCCCCTTGTCCTATCATTATCCTTCCTGGCAAAGAGTCCCTCCCCAGCTCTTCTATAGGCACCCTTCAGGTATTGAAAGGCCGCTATAAGGTCTCCCTGGAGCCTTCTCTTCTCCAGGCTGAACAATCCCAGCTCCCTCAGCCTGTCTTCACAGGAGAGGTGCTCCATCCCTCTGATCATCTCCGTGGCCCTCCGCTGCACCTGTTCCAGCTGGTCCATGTCCTTTCTGTGTTGAGGACTCAATAATAAAGACCTTTGAAGTACAAAAGAAAAATACTTAGAAAAGTTTAAAAGGTTAAAACTGAAAAAACGTTGACTTCTTTTTTCCATTTTGGCAAGAAAACAGGTTACTGATGGCATCCTAATATGCAGATGTAGAATTTTTTTGGTTTTTTCCTTTTCAGTGTTTCTTTTTATTCTCAATGGAGATATGGACACAGAAGTGTGAGTGAGAGCCTTCCCCTGGCAAACAGTGGCATTTCAGGCATTTTAATAAAGTTATGAGTTCTTAATTTTTTTTATAGACATCTTTCTTTGGAAATGTGGGGATGCTCCAATGCATTTTTTTTTTAGCTTTTAAGAATACCTAGTGATTTGTGAGACTCCCTAGTCTGAAAAGAGAGAGATGTGAAAACATAGCAAAAGACATCCAAAACAATTCTCTGAAATGATTCATCTGTTGTTTAATAAACAGGTGTTTAAAGATCAAAGCAGTGGTTTTTAAGATAGTGTATGATAGTCCTAATTCTGCATCAAACTCTTCCAGGTGATGCCTTTTTCATTGACTTCCAAACACTTGGAGCGGCTGAAGAACAACGTCATGATTATCGAGGCGTGGAAGTGATAGCAAATAGCACCCAGTGTGTTCTGTGTCCTAATTCTGCATCGAACTCTTCCAGGTGATGCCTTTTTCATTGACTTCCAAACACTTGGAGCGGCTGAAGAACAACGTCATGATTATCGAGGCGTGGAACAAGATGGGCAGCCCTGGCTGTGACAGGCTCCTGGGACTGGTGAAGCTTCCCCTGCATCAGTTTTACATCTCCTTCAAGTAAACACCTTTCTTCCAGATTTTGTTGGGTTGGGAAATGTCCTGACTAACGAGATAGAAGGGAAGGGTGGTGTCTGGGGTTTGCATGGAGGGGTCTTAATTGTATTTTATAGCAAAAAGCGTTTTTGTCCTGCCAGGTTTCCTCTGGCACTCTCCTATCCAGAGCAGTAGGTGGGTCCTCACTGTCCTCAAACAGAAGTATGAGGTTGGGTGGAGAATGGCTGGAGAGCAGCCCCGAGGAGAAGGACTTGGTGCTGCTGGTGGGTGAGAAGCTCCCTGAGCAGTAGGTGGGTAAGTCACACTGTCCTCAAACAGAAGTATGAGGTTGGGTGGAGAATGGCTGGAGAACAGCCCCGAGGAGAAGGACTTGGGGCTGCTGGTGGGTGAGAAGCTCAACATGAGCCAGCAACTTGCACTGGCCACCCAAAAAGCCCCCCACATCCTGGGCTGCATCCCCAGCAGCGTGGCCAGCAGGGCCAGGGAGGGATTCTGCCCCTCTGCTCCGCTCTGGGGAGACACCCCCCACCCAGTGCTGCCTCCAGCTCTGGGGCCACCAACAGCAGAAGGACATGGACCTGTTGGAGCGGGGCCAGAGGAGGCCACCATGGAGATGCTGGGAGGGCTGGAGCCCCTCTGCTGGGAGGACAGGCTGAGAGAGTTGGGGGGGTTCAGCCTGGAGAAGAGAAAGCTCCGGGGAGACCTTGGAGCCCCTTCCAGTCCCTCAAGGGGCTCCAGGAGAGATGGGGAGGGACTCTTGATGAGGGAGGGGAGCCCTAGGAGGAGGGGGAAGGGTTTGACCCTGAAAGAGGGGAGATGGAGCTGAGATGTGGGGAAGAACTTGTTTGGTGTGAGGGTGGTGAGAGCCTGGCCCAGGTTGCCCCGAGAAGCTGTGGCTGCCCCATCCCTGGAGGGGTTCAAGGGCAGGTTGGAGGGGGCTTGGAGCAACCTGGTGTGGTGGGAGGTGTCCCTGCCCAGGGCAGGGGGTTGGAACTGGATGATCTTTAAGGTCCCTTCCAACCTGGACTATTCTATGATTCTATACAAGTGGCCACTGAGAAATAAAGACCTTATACTGCATGAGGTTTTGAACCAATTTAATTTGTGGCCCTATGAAGGAATAAAACTATAAGAGATCAAAGTGACTGCACAGGAGGTGTGGCTTTCCAGTGGTGATTTTCCAAAATTGTGACTGATCAAGTGATTTTATTCCTGATTACACTCTGTGTAGATCCCATTGCTGGGGATAACGCTTGTGGTATCAAAAAGCTCTCTGAATAATTGTGGTATCAAAAAGGTCTCTAAATAATTCCTGGTTTAATTCTTGTCTTCCCTGGTGGGTCTTTCCTGAGCTCTTTGTTCTTTTTGGTTCAATGTTCTGGCTTCTTGTTCAGTCAACTAATATACCTGCTTTAAACAATTTAAATTCATGGGAAACAGAAAAGAATCTTTTTAATGCAAAGGATTAATCCCTTTTATTTTCATCCAACTAGGGATAGGTGGAAATCAAATGGTGCTGGAACTGACTGGCCACAACTTTGTTAATTATTAGTGTGTCATTTGTGTATTTTTTTCCGAAATCCACGGGAGTTTACTTGTGTGTACCTTCAGTGTATTATTAGTTTTAACATTTCTCCTGGAGATTGTCCCTATTCCTTCTTTTCTTCTTGCCCAAGTCCATCCCCAAAGACAAATAACTGCCTCGTAAAAGTATAATGAGGCTCAGTATATTAATAGGAGCCTCTTTCCAGTTCATCGCCTCGCTCACGGGTCTCTGGGCTTAGAGTTAAGGCTGTGTTAGTTTTTGGAAAGCTCTGCTTTGTCATCACTGAAAATAGCCTTTTCTGCAGCTCGTGGGGCTGTGCTTTGTGAAGACCAATGCCATGGAGGCAAATTTGGGAGGAGTGGAGAGGCTCTGCAGAGAGATCTCGACAGGCTGGATCGATGGGCCGAGACCAATGGGATGAGGTTCAACAAGGCCAAGTGCCAAGTCCTGCACTTCGGTCACACCAACCCCATGGACTCTCCAGGCTGGGGGCAGAGTGGCTGGAGCTGCCTGGCAGAGAAGGACCTGGGGGTGTTGGTCGACTGTCGGCTGAACATGAGCCAGCAGTGTGCCCAGGTGGCCAAGAAAGCCAACAGCATCCTGGCCTGTGTCAGGAACAGTGTGGGGAGTAGGGCCCAAGAGGTGATTGTCCCCCTGTACTGGGCACTGGTGAGGCCTCACCTTGAGTACTGTGTCCAGTTTTGGGCCCCCTACCATAAAAAAGACACTGAGGTGCTGGAGCGGGTCCAGAGAAGGGCGACAAAGATGGTGAGGGGTCTGGAGAATAAGTCTTATGAGGAGAGGCTGAGGGAGCTGGGGTTATTCAGCCTGGAGAAGAGGAGGCTGAGGGGAGACCTTATTGCTCTCTACAACTACCTGAAAGGAGGGTGTAGAGAGGTGGGGGTCGGTCTCTTCTCCCAAGTCACAGGCGACAGGACAAGAGGAAATGGCCTCAAGTTGCACCAGGGGAGGTTCAGGCTGGATATTAGGAAAAATTTTTTCACTGAAAGGGTTATCAGGCATTGGAATGGGCTGCCCAGGGAGGTGGTTGAGGCACCATCCCTGGAGGTGTTCAAAAGACAGGTTGATGTAGTGCTGGGAGGTATGGTTTAGTGATGATGCTCCTTGTTTGTTGTGTGGGTGTCTATTTTTGTCAGTTAGGTTGACGGTTGGACAAGATGATCTTTGAGGTCCCTTCCAACCTAGAAGATTCTGTGATTCTGTGATTCTGAGATAGGTTGGTTTCTGACCGCGTTGAAAGTCCCACCTAAAATGAGCTTTGTGTGATCATCTTCATATTCAGATGGCTCGTTCTCATACTGGGGCTTTTTTTGTTTCTTTGTTTTTTCTTTTGTTTTAATCTATTCTAGGGATCCAAAGATTTCCCACCTGCTTCTCCAAGCTCAGTACCCGGTGGTGGCTGTGGACAGCTTTATGCCTGTGGTAGATGTTTTTACCGGCAGCAGAAGCGGAAACCTGAGGGTCATTCTGGCCATGGGGTCGGCAGATCAAATCGTGGCACTTCAAAGGCTGAAAAATGAAGAAGGGATGGCTCCTCCCATCACACAGCGCCCTTTCCACTCCCTGGACCCTCCTCCTGCAAAGCCCACACGGGTATTTTTCAGGAAATTCCCATTTTTGTTGTCAGGGGACAAGTGAAAAGGATTTTACCCCTGGGTTCACCAACGGATGGGTGATCCCTAATCTCTTTCCATCCTGTAGCCAATTTTGTTAAAAATCACAGAATCCCATGGAGTTGGAAGGGACCTCTGGAGATCATCCAGTCCAACCCCCTGCCAGAGCAGGGCCACCCAGAGCAGGTTCCACAGGAACGTGTCCAGGTGGGGTTTGAATGTCTCCAGAGAAGGAGAGTCCACCACCTCTCTGGGCAGCTTCTTCCAGGGCTCTGCCACCCTCAAAGTGAAGAAGTTCCTCCTCAGGTTTAGGTGGAACTTCTTATATTTAATTTTGTGGCTGTTGCCCCTTGTCCTGTCCTTGGGCACCACTGAAAAAAGACTGGCCCCATCCTCCTGACACCCATCCTTTAAGGATTTAGAGGTGTTGATCATTTCCCCCCTCGGTCTTCTCTTCTCTAGACTACAAAGACCCAAGTCCCTCAGCCTCTCCTCATAAGAATGATCACATTCTTTGCAGAATTAGATTATTTGTACTTTTTTCTTACCCACTTTCCCTCACCACTCTTGTCATTATTACCTTTTTTACTGCCCTGCGTTAAGTTTTGATGTTTTCTGTGAACTTCAGGGAGAAAATAGGAGGTAGTGGTTCTGAGCCCCAACTCTCAAGCTTCTTACCATCTCATGTTCCCAATCCTCGGGTTCCTAAAGAGTCATCCTTTCCATACGGATCTTCTTGGTTTTATTAGGACTTGGACCAAGAAGGGGAAGACCTGATGGAGCACGTGTTTGAGATCCACGTGGAGAGCGTGAAAGGACTCACTCCCTTGCAGTCCACAGTCTGGGGGGAGGCTGACTGCTACGTGCAGTACCATTTCCCAGTTCAAGAGACTGGTTCTGGGGCCCTGCAAGGAACAGAATTGCATGAGGATGGTAAGTTGTTAATTTTTTAAGGATACATCCTTATTTAGAGCATGGCTTTATTTAAATATTGCCTAGTAATGTTCTAGTTCTGCATCTTTTTACATGGTCCCTTTTAATTAACAATCCTAGAGGGCTTTGTGAACTCAAACACTTCCAGATTCATGGGGAATACTAAGGTTGTATTAGGGCCAGAGAGATGCTGGGAGGGCTGGAGCCCCTCTGCTGGGAGGGGGGGCTGAGAGAGTTGGGGGGGTTCAGACTGGAGAAGAGAAGACTCTGGGGAAACCTTGGAGCCCCTTCCAGTCCCTCAAAGGGCTCCAGGAAAGCTGAGGAGGGACTCTTGATGAGAGAGGGGAGCCCTAGGAGGAGGGGGAAGGGTTTGAGACTGAAAGAGGGGAGATGGAGCTGAGATGTGGGGAAGAACTTGTTTGGTGTGAGGGTGGTGAGAGCCTGGCCCAGGTTGCCCCGAGAAGCTGTGGCTGCCCCATCCCTGGAGGGGTTCAAGGCCAAGTTGGAGGGGGCTTGGAGCAACCTGGTCTGGTGGGAGGTGTCCCTGCCCATGGAAGGGAGGTTGGAACTAGGTGATCTTTAAGGTCCCTTCCAACTCTAATCATTCTATGATTCTATGACACTGAAAGAGGGGAGATGGAGATGAGATGTGGGGAAGAACTTGTTTGGTGGGAGGGTGGTGAGAGCCTGGCCCAGGTTGCCCCAAGAAGCTGTGGCTGCCCCATCCCTGGAGGGATTCAAGGGCAGGTTGGAGGGGTCTTGGAGCAACCTGGTCTGGTGGGAGGTGTCCCTCCCCCTGGAAGGGAGGTTGGAACATGATGATCTTTAAGGTCCCTTCCAACTCTAACCATTCTATGATTCTATACACAAGCCTTTGAAGACGCTCGTTTTCATGGATACACCAAGAGAAGACTTG